GACCCCTGGGTGCGGACCCTGAAGGTGGGCTTGTGGTTACTGCCGCCCCCCTGCTCCCTGACCCCTCCTACCAAATGCTCCCACCACCTCCTGCTAGGAGTTTCCTGTCATCACTGACCAGGATCCCTGCTGGGTTCTGCTGTGCCCCTGGGTTTGGAGAGACCCTTCCCCAATGGGAAAATTCTCCAGCAGGGAGCAAGCCTGGGTCTGCTCCCCTGAGGGTCATGGAAAGAGCCCCGGCCAGGGTGTCAGGAGGGGGCTGGGTTTGAACTTCATTAGTAGTGGGGTACCCCTAGGTGCGTCACCATGCTTGAGCCTGGGTAGCCCGGCCTCTCCTCCCACACAGGGCTGTGTCAGGAAAGCTCTTTTCAGCGAGCGCTCAAATGTTGGACGGATAACTTGTTGGGGGAAACTGAGGCCCAGAGAGGGAGAATCCTGCAGAGCAGGGCCCCGGCAGCCCCTAGAGCTTCTCACACTCTGGGTTTTTTGGACCGCCCCCCCCAGCCCTCCCCCTCTGCAGCTACCCAGGGCAGCGCTGTTTGAGGAACAGATGTTTGAGCCAAAGGTTAAACAATTGTGAATTGTGATTGATGACATGTATTTACACACTGAAGTGGTTCAGGGAGGAAGGGGACCGGGATGCTCAGTCCGGACAGGGGCCAGAGAGGGGCTGGCAAACCCAGGAGGGAGAGGCCTGGCCAGGTGTGGGGTGAGCAGCTCTAGGGGGAGGGGAGAAGGTCTGAGCCAAAGCAAAGCTCCCCAGCCAGAGTGGGAGCAGCGGGAAGGCTGAGAAGGTTGGCTAGGTAGTGAGGCTCCTACCCCCACCTGGGGACACAGAACCTGGTTTCACCAGGCTCTTTCACAGCCATCCTCCCCACTGTTAGTGCCCTCCCACCCAAGCTACTTTGTGTCAGTCAGCATGGAGGGTGGGCACTGCCCTGTACCCTCTGTGTTCTACCAGATTGGCCAGTCTCCTGCTTTTCTCTCCTAATGTTCCATCTCTCACCCCCATACCTTTGCCTAGGCTGTCCCTTCTACCAGGAATGCCGTCCCTCTTCACCTCTACCTCCTAGCATCTTTAGCTTCCTTCATAGCTTAGCTCAGGTGCCACTTGCTATGAGAAAGCCTTGCCTGATCCCCAATCTCCACCCCACCCCAGCCCCTTCCCCAGCTGTTAGTGAACTATCTGTCCATGAATTAATTACCTGGATTTACTTAGCTGCGTGCCTGTGCTGGCTTCCCAGGAGCGTGTAAGCTCTGTTTTTCCATCATGTCTTTGTGGCCTCGGTTGCCAGGCACATAGTAGGGGCTTTCGCTTGTGTGTGGCAGGGCTGAGTCCAAAGCCAATGAGAAGCTCTGAGGCTGTGGACAGAAAACCTCCGGTACTGAATTGGTAAGAAGAAACAGGACCGGGGTTCAGTCCGTAGAAGTGGAGGCCCCAGCCTACTGGAGCTGGGGGGTGATGGCAAAGGCAGGGCCTCCAGCCTCATCCTGCATGGGCCCAGAGCTGCCCCCTTCTATCCCAGGGGCCAGTTAAAAGATGATCGAATCAGACACCTTTAAAGTCACCTGGTCTCACGCTCTCATTTTCCTGCTGAGGAAACAGAGGCCCAGAGAGGTCACGTGAACAAGGCCAGTATTTATTAGGGGCCAGGCCCTGCACTTGGCCCCACAAGTACAAAGAATTAATCCCCCAAAAGGAACTTCCTGTAGAATGGGGGAGACCAGTCTCATGGGGAGAGAAGATGTTTTAAAAGTTTTCTAACTGCAGAATCAGCTTTTTCAGGGCTGTGCCCCACTCCCCCAAGGGCCGTGGTCTGTGGGCCTGACTCCCTCTCACTGGCCCCTGGGGGGCTACCCCCCTCCCCAGACTCCTTCCTGGCTCTGCAGTAATCCCTGTCTACACTCTCTCATATTCTGGATGAAAAGGGAACTGGTGAATTCTCAACAAAAAAAGCAACTCCCTCCCATAGGTAGGGAGGTGGGGAATCCAGAAGCATGGACTCCCCAGAGCATCAAATCCAGCCCCTGAACCCAGGCAGAAATTCCCTCACTGGTCTTGGTAACCAAGGATCAGCCGACTGTGATTTGCATATCTTCTGGGTTGGGGAGCTTACTACCTGCAAGGCAGCCTAGGCCACACACAGACATTCCCTTTGTTAGAAAGTCCCCTTTCCACGGAACTGAAGTCATCTCCCGCTAAGCCCCTGGTTTGTTCTAGCTCCCTCTGAGACTGACCAGTTCAGCCCTTCAGACCCCTGCAGGACGGTCGGCGGGTCCCTGTGTGGTACGGTGGAAGGAGCTGGAGGACCTGGTCTCCCGTCCTGTCCCTGACATGTGTATCTTACCTTCGCCTCCATGGGCAGGACGGGGAGGGCAGAATCCGAAGCAGTGGGAGGGACATTACCCATTCTGCGTGGCCCCAGGGGGCGGGGCTGCCCCAGAGGTGGCCAGCTCCAAGGCAGAGGCCGGACAGCATGTTGGGTGTTAGGAGAATGAAGGTTCCTTTCTTTGGGCAGCAGGTTAAAGAGTCTCCCCTCCCTTCTTAGATTTATTAGGCGTTTATCCAGTATTCTCTTGGATGTGGGAATGTTGGAGCACCTCGAGAACAAGAATTATTTCATTCATTTATTTGTATCCCTAGAGCTTAGCACAGGGTCTGGCACATAATAGGAACTTAATGAATGCTCGTTATTGATTAATCTATGAATCCACTACCTAGTACATAATAGGAGCTTAATAAATGCTCATTGATTAACCCATGAATCCGATACCTAGTACACAGTAGGAGCTTAGCAAATGCTCATTAATTGATGATTCTATGTATCTGTGATCCACAATGCCTGGCACACAGTAGGCATTTAATAAATGACTGATTGATTGCTAGGCGTCTCTTCCAATTCTGATCTTGTGCCTCAGTTTCCTTATCTTGAAAGGAAAAGGGCTGGATCAGATGGCCTGTGCCGGCATATGGCTCGATCCCAGGATCCTCAGGCGCCCTTTTCTAGACAATCTCCGGCTGGCCGATGGCCTGCCTAGCCGGTGGCCCCCAGATCTGAGTCCCGGCCTCTTCTCAGCTGGCCTGACTAGGGCAGAGACTGTAGGACTGGATCACAGAAGCATGTTGGCATATTTCTAGGAGAAGGGCCCCTTAGGCTGTCTGAGGGTGGCTGGGGTTGATGGGTATGTGGGGGGAGGGCTTGTTACCAGCTGCCAGGTGATACGTGGGTGCTTCCGTCCCTGCAGGCATGTTCCCTGGCTCCGGGGCCTCTCAGAATGGACTGACTTCGGGGATCCTGCCCCCTCCTCAGGACGGCCCCTCCAGGCACCACCCACTGGACTCCTCGGCCATGGCCAGTTCCCAGCACCACCTGTCCCCTCTGCCAGCGGCAGAGAGCACCAGGGAAGGGTAGGTGACCCCACACTTCAGGAGCTGCCCCGTGTCCCCCAACATTGTGGGTGTGGGCTCAGCTTGGAGGGAGGGGGGCTTAAATGGGTAAATGCCCTGCCAAAAAACGCTCAGTGATCAAGCATCTTCATAGGTTATTTGCACGTTGGGGGTGGAAGTGGGGATGGGTGGGGAAACAACATCGTGTTCTTCCATCAGGACCAACGTGGGAAGTGAGGTTTGGTTAATCAGAACAGCGACCACGGTCAGCAATGTCAGGGCTGGTGGGGCCGGAGAATATGGCACTTCAGAGTTAGGTGGGGGGGAACCTTAGGACAGGAATATTGGAGCTGGAGTCAGACCCCCACTCATTCTAAAAAGAAGGGGAAACAGACCCAGAGCGGGGAAGCCGCCTGGCCAGGTCACCCAGTGAGTGAGCCCAGGGCAGGCTCAAGGCTGGAGCCTAGGCCTCTCCTCGCCAGCAGGAAGAAGCGAGCTGTCTTGCATTCCTGTGGGCTCAGGGAAGGACAGCCGAGAGTCTCAGGGCCAAGGAATCCCCTGCCCACCCCTCCCCAGGAAGGTCCTGGGCCTCCCTCGATAGCCCAGTGCTAATAGCTACTTGGTAGGCGGACAAATTGCTTTCCTGCCCACTCCATAAACACAGCATCATCATGCCCGCCTCCCCTGTCTCCCTCCACCCTGGCCCCCACTGGACCCGCTGACAGCCATGCCCACAGCAGACCCTGCTCCGCAGAATGTTGCTGTGACCCATCGGAGAGCCTCAAACATGAAGTAATTGAAGGCAAATGCAGGCATCCATAGTGCCCCACGTTCTGCCTGCACAAATATGCTTCCCATTACAGCCAGCTAATTGGAGCTAAGTACTTAATGTGCTAATTGGAGAACCCTTAAGAAAACGAGTTTTCCTTGCAAATAAACAGAATTGGACTGTTTTGCTGTCCCTGGTGCCCCACCCCCTTCCCGCTCTGCCTCTCTGGAGCCCTCAGTGCTGATCTGGAGGAGCTCATTCCGGGCTAGAATTAGGGAATTTGGGGGGCGGGGGTACTTGCTAAGAGTGAGAAGGACCCTTAGAAGTCATTCCCCTCATTTTGCAGGAGATGAAACTGGGGCCCAGGGAGACAAAGGAACTCACCCGAGTTTTTGTAATAAGTAACAAAGCTGAAATTTGTTTTTTTCCTCATTTAATAAGATTTTATTTTTTCCAATTACATATAGTTTCAACATTCACTTTCATAAGATTTTGAGCTCCAGATTTTTTCTCTCACTACTTCCCTTCCCTCCTCCCTCCCCGAGACAGCGTACAATCTGATATAGGCTATACACGTACAGTGATATTGTACATATTTCCACATTAGTCATGTTATGAAAGAAGAATTAGAACAAAAGGGAAAAACCGTGAGAAAGAAAAAAAAGTGAAAACAGTAAGCTTCAATCTGCATTCAGACTCCAGAGTTCTTTCTTTGGATGTGGATAGCATTTTCCATCACGAGGCCTCTGGAGATGGCTTAGATCCTTGTATTGCCAGGAAGGGTTAAGTTTATCAATATTAGTCATTGCACAATGCGGCTGTTACTGTGTACAACGTTCTCTTGGTTCTGCTCACTTCACTCAGCATCAGTCCATACAAGTCTTTCCAGGTTTTTCTGAAGTCAGCCTGTTCATCATTTCTTATAGCACAATAGTATTCCATTACATTCATATACCACAACTTGTTCAGCCATTCCCCCGTTGATGGGCATCCCCTCAACTTCCAATTCTTTGCCACCACAGAAAGAGCTGCTATAAATGTTTTTGTACATGTGAGTCCTTTTCCCATTTGTATGATCTCTTTGGGAAATAGCCCTAGAAGTGCTATTGCTGGGTCAAAGGGGATGCACATTTTTATAGCCCTTTGGACATAGTTCTAAATTGCTCTCCAGCATGATTGGTTCAGTTCACAACTCCACCAACAATGCATTAGTGTTCCAATTTTCCCACATCTTCTCCAACATTTATCATTTTCCTGTTTTGTCATATTGGCCATTCTGATAGGTGTGATGTGGTACCTCAGAGTTGTTTTAATTTGCATTTCTCTAATCAGTAGTGGTTTAGAGCATTTTTTTCGTATGACTATAGATAGCTTTAATTTCTTCATCTGCAAACTGCCTGTTCATATCCTTTGACCATTTATCATTTGAGGAGTGGCTTCTATTCTTATAAATTTGACTCAGTTATCTATGTATTTTAGAAACGAGGCCTTTATCAGAAACACTAGCAGTAAAAATTGTTTCCCAGGCAAAGCTGAAATTTGAACCCAAATTCAGTGTCCTTTCCACGTTATGAGTTGCATCCAGTGTAATCCCTACCTCTGTTGATGTATACAAATCCCCTCTTTAGAATCCCCAACCAGTGATCATCCAGTCTGTTTTCATTCTTCTATTGACAGGGAACTCACTACCTTGTATTCCATTATTAGGAAATTCTCCCTTCATTTAGCTCAATTCAACTTCTAACCCTAATTTCCACCCAGTGGGCCTGGTTCTGCACTTGAGGACCAAAAAAGAATAATTCTAATCCTTCCAAGACACAGTCCTTCATATACTCAAAGAGAGTTACAATGCCCCACTGTCTCTAAATCTTATCTTCTAAATTTAGCAGGTATTAATTGAGCACCTACTGGGTACCAGGGACTGTGCTGGGTATTAGGGATGCAGAGAATAAAACACAACAGTCCCTGTCTTCAAGGAGTTTACATTCTAATTGGAGAATTCAGAATGCCCACAGATAAACAAATATAAAATATATATGAAATAAATATGCACAAATATATGAAATCCACATAAAATATATATGAAATAAATCCACACAAATGTATGAAATAAATACATGCAAATATATGAAATAAATATGTGCAAATATATGAAATAAATACACACAAATATATGAAATAAATACACACAAATGTATGAAATAAATACACACAAATATATGAAATAAATACACACAAACATGAAATAAATACGTGTAAATATATGCAATAAATGCACACAAACATATGAAATAAATACAAATAAAATATATGAAATAAATACACATAAAGTATACATGAAACAAATACACACAGTTGACAGTGGCACTAACAATTGGGGCAACAGGGCTTCTTGTAAGAGATGACGCTTAAACGGAACCTTTAAAGGATTCCGAGAGTCTAAAGTAGGGAGAGTATGCCAGCGACAGGAGGCAGCCTGTACAAAGGCACAGAGATGAAAGATGAAATAGTTCTATGCAGGAAACAGAACGCCTGCGGCCACTTTGCCTTCCCTGGGGAGAGGGAGGGGGAGGGGGAGGAGTATTCACTTGCCTACAGAGCTGGGCTGGAGCCAGGTGACGAGTGGCTTCACCACTTGCATCTGATCCAAGAGGCCGCACGGACGGGTCTCCCACTTCTCAGCCGTCTTCTCTTCCTTAAGTCTCGAGCTTGTTGAGAGGCGGGGGATATGTGCTTGACGCTGCAGGTCACCAGTGTCTTCAGCTGATCCTTATAGGACACGGACTCAAGGCCCTTTGGTTTTCCTCCTCTGGTCCCCCACCAGCTGATCAATGTCCTTCTTAAACAGGGATGCCCACTTCCAGCTGAGGACTGACGACTCAGAACGGTGGGAGTGCCATCCCCTCCCTAGTCCTGGATGCTAAGCTTCCCTTAGTACAGCCCCCAGACCTCAGCTCTCTTCTCTGCGGCCATGTCACACTGCTGACATCTATTAAATGTGACTGAATCCTCCAGGTAGAGTCTCAGAGTCTTACAGTTGGAAGGGACCTCAGGGACCAGCTAGCCCGACCTATCCATGGACAAACATCCCCTCGCCACACCTCCGACAAATGGTCATCTGGCTTCTGCTTGAATACTCCAAGGAGGAGGAAGTCACCGCCTCCCAAGGCAGCTCAACCCCCTTGGGGATAGAGTTTTAAGTCATCTGCCTGCCTGCCCCTTCCTCCCTCCTTCTGCCCTCTGGGACCAAGCAGAAGAAGGCTGGTACTGCTTCTGCATGATGATGACACAGCAAAAGAATAACAGCGTACCCTTAGATGCCGCTGCCTGAAGGTCGATGCAGCGTCTCCTTCAGAATTTCTTTGCCAACCTTTAGGTTTCCTTTGGAAGAGTTGTCAGAGGTAGGGCTGGCATCCGGGCCTACTACCCATTTTCTGTGCCCTGATCTGCTCATCTGGTAATCCCGTCTTTCATCCTTACGTCTGTCCCCCAGGATTCTGCAGATGGTACCACCAGCTACTCAGGAACCACATTCACAAATTCTTTCAATATTCTCAGATATAGCTTCTCAGTGACAACAGCTTCTATCTCCTGACTTTATAGCACCAGAGTATTTTGGCAGACCCCTTAGACTAGAAGACTAAACCATTTCAAACACCTCTCTTAAGCCTCCGGAAATTATTTTGGGACCTTGTTACACGCCTGAAAATCGTTGGTATTGTTCAGTCATTTTTCAGTCGTGTCTAATTCTTTGTGATAAAGGTACTGGAGTGGTTTACCATTTCCTTCTCCAGGTCATTTTACGTGTGAAGAAACTGAGGGAGACAGGATTCAGTGACTTGCCCAGGGTCACACAGCTAGTAAGTGTCAAGTATCTGAGGCCAGATTTGTCTTTCTGCCCTTTTCTTGGCATTGGGTAAATGGAGGACCCAGCCACCATGCTAATTTTCTTTCATTCCATCCTTGCACTGCCTGGGATGGACTCACTTCCCCTCTGCCCCTGATCCCGTGTCTCCTTCGGTCTCTCAGTTAACAAGCGTTCGTTAAGTACTTACAATGTGCCAGGCACCTGCTAACGCCGGGCATGGAAAGAAAAGCAAAGACCATTTCTCCATGCCTGCAAGGAGCCCACATTCATGGTGGAGACAGCATGCCAATAACTAGATAAATAGAAGATCTGTACAGAGTGGAATGCAGATCCTTGGAGTGGGGAAGGCATTAGCAGGGGGGGAACCGCCTGAACTGAGTCTTG